ATGTTAGCTAGAGACAGGTCTCAGCTACGTGACAGCACCTGAGACAGGTGTTCTGGTTAGCACTGGTCATTGACTGGTTCCAGACAGACTACAGCGTCTCTTGGCCTTGGACCTGATAGTAAGACTCATGGCTCCCCACACTCCAAATTGTGGTGATATATTATTTGTGATTTAATGAAGCTTGCTTGAGGGTTCAGGATGCAAATCCAGCCACAAGCTATAGAGGTTAGGCAATAGTGATATACACCTTTAATCCCAGCAACCATAGTAGCTAACCATAGAAGCTGGGCCCTGGTGGTACACACCTTTAATCCCAGGACTCGTGAGACAGAGGCAGATGGATCTCTCTGAGTTCCAGGCCACCCTGGCCTACATAAAAGTGAATCAGTCTAAAAGAGAATTAGAGCTCATGCATTTACCATAGAGAGGTATATAAAAGACAAGAGCCCAGAGTCTTAGGCTGTATTCTGAGATTTATTTGCCACAATGAGGATTCATGGAGACAGGATGAGCCCTTTCAGCCTCAGGTAGAGGTTAAGAGCTAGTGGCATGGCTGCTTTGGTTTTCAGGTCTTCAGCTTGAACTCCAATTTTAGTGAAATATCCACCCCACCTACACTTATTGAATGCCTAAGTGGGCGTGGTCACAGGTGCAGACGTTGGGGAGGGGGGCTAGGTCTGGGGTCCTGGATCCCAGCTTGCTCTCTTGGTTTCAGTCGGGTCACAGAGAGCAGCCTGGGCATGGATCCTTGGAGCAGGAATTTGCAGGTCATTGGTTTCTCATGCAAGTGACTTCTCCCCGAATAAAATATATAACCCATATTATAACCTCATCCCGTGTCTCATAATCTATGCATCAATACCCAATATCAATCTCTGCATTTTTATTTTTCATGTTACACCAAGTCATATCCTTCAACTACTGCATGGCCCTATGAAGTCTGACGCTGTGAAAACTCCAGCTGAGTGAGGGTGTGCCTGTGTACCTAAGGCAGTGTAGGTATTCGTCCCCAAGGCCAAATATACTCCTCTTGGCCCTTTTCCATGAGGTACACCAGTGGGGCATCAACATTCTAAGGCAAGGTCTACCATGCCTTCTTGCTGAGGGCATTCATTTCCATCTGTGTACTCTTTCCACATGTTTCAAAAGACCTAGAAACTGGTTGCAAAATATACGTTTTGCCTTGTAGTCATAGAAGGACACGGTGTCAACATGTATAATTACCAGTGATGCTAATCTTGATCTGCAAAGCTACCAATTTACCTGTTAGAGTTAATAAACATGCTGGAAGAGGTATGTGAGAGTATGTAAATGCTTTTTACCCTTTCACACATTAACTTTGACGATCTGAATGTCTGGTAACTGAATTTGGGATTCTGTAAGGAAGAGCTATCCGTCCTCCACTGTCCGTTAAGTTTTCAGAGACGTACTTATTTGAATAGACACATAGCTACTGATTTCATTTTATGGTTAAAATCCAATGCTACTATTATTTGTTATTTAGTTGTTCCCACTTTGTCCTATTAAAACTCTTCAGGTTGATTCCTGTATCCATTTGACTCACTGTCACCCACATCCCTCTCTTTTTCCATTCTATTTTTTGTCAATTGACTTTGTTTTGTATTTTTGTTGTTGTTGTTTTTGTGTAATTTATCTATTTATTTATTGAGACATCATTTCCCTGTGTAACCCTGGCTGTCCTAGAACTCACTCTGTAGTCCAGGCTGGCTTTGCACTCAGAGATCTGCCTACTTCTGCCTCCCAAATGCTGGGACTAAAGGTGTGTACCACCATCACCCAGCTTGTATTATTTTTTGTTTGTTTGTTTTTGAGACAGGACCTATGTAGCCTTGGTTAGCATCAAAATCAGAGATCAACCTGTACTGGGATTAAATGCATGGATCACCACACCCAGCCTTGCCAATAGGCTTTAAAACAATAACTTTAGATCTACAAATTTCAAAGACAATGTAAGCTCCAACCAATGCTAACATCTTATGTAACCACAATACAATTATCAAAACTGTGGGACCAATGTGGGTCAATTACCATAACAAAATTCCAGACTTGATTTGAATTCTGCCAATTCTTCCACTGTTTTCCATTCCAAGATCCAACCCAGGATTCTGTGCTACATTTAGGCCCTCATCCTATTTTAAGCACAAGATGCTCCTGTCTCATCTTGCATTTTTCTGCCCAGTCCTGTAAGCATCCACTTCTCCAAAAAGCCTCACCCAGAAACTTTCAAAACTCCCAGCGCCTAGGCAGCACCTCAGATGAATTTAAGATCTCTGGCCGAGCAGCCTTGGAAGTTACATGTATAAGAGTGCCACCCCCCCTCCAGTTACTCCAATGTTCATTTGAGGCTGGGACATGGATTTAGAATTTACTCCTGGTGGGTAAAGAATAGATTGAAATATGTTAAATCCCCAGATGTTGATTTCAGTGTATTTTCTGGTAGGCTTTATGTTTACTGTAAACAGAAGCCAGTTCTGTTCATCTCTAATCAGCACCCAGCCCAGAGCCCATCACACAAAAGGAACTTAGAAACACTGAGTGAAACTGAGCATACACCTTGACTCCCATAAGATTAGCTTAGGCCTAGTGGTTTTCCTAGTCTCTCAGCCATCTTAGTCTTTTTAGTTGCTCTAAGATTCATGTCTCCTAAACACTCCTCTCCTAAGATCTTAGGTGTAAGGGAGGCAGCAGGAAGACTGCCCTCCATAAAGCCACTGGGCAAACTTTCCAGGCAGAAACTGCCACCCCTCTTCCTGCTTAGACCCCCCTGGTCACCTCTGTATGTTTGGCTCTTCTACATTTTTTCCCTCCAATACCCTTTAAGGTAAATGCATTGGAAAAAGCATTCCCTAAGTCCTTCACTTTGTCACTCCTCTTTTCTAGCCTGCATCTATGTCTGCCCCTCTTCTTCACAGAAGGACAAAGCAAACACTCCAGAGCTGGCTAAATCAAAGTCAAACCCCAATTCCCCTATTTATCAGATATCTGGTCAAAGAACTGAACCTTCTGAGTCTTGATTCCTGGCATAAAATGGGGACAATGAGACCCACCTTGCATATTGACATGTAATGTCTGAAGACCAGATATTGCTACTCTAGAGCATACCATGGACTCAGAAATGTGAGCTATGTCCAGTGGTACAGGCTTGCAATTCCAGCTGCCTGGGAGGGTGAAGCAGGAGAATTCTAAGTTCCAGGTCAGACTGAGTTACAGAGCAAGCTCAAGGCAGCTTAGAACATTTAGGGAGACTACATCTGAAACATGAAAACAAACAAAAACAAACAAACCAGGACTCAAACAAGAGCTCTGAGAATACAGCTCAGTAGTTGAGCAACTGCTCAACATAAGGTCCTAGGTTCAAACTCAGAAGAGAAAGGAAAGAAAGGGAGAGGTGTTGTGGCTATCATTGTTATTAGTAAGAATGTTTCCTGAATCACTCCCTAGTATTTGGAAGGGACAAAGCAATATAACTTTACTCATCTGCCCAGTGATCTAGTAAGCAATAGAAGCTCATTCTGCACTTGCAAATGCTCAAAATTACATGAAGGCAACCTGAGCTAAAGCTAGTATTTTCTGACACCACCATTTGCATTACCAAAAGATCAGGATAATTAACATTTGAGGCAGGGATGTTGACATCTTTTAAAAGCTTGTCATTTGTATTGTCTTGTTTTAACCCCTCAAGACTTCAAAGTGGCTCTTATATACACCTCACAGATGGGAAAATCAAGTTATATGAACAACCACAAACTAGTAAGACACACAGAGACAGACACAGAGAGAAAGAAACTTGGGGTGGGAACACACACATTTGTCCCAAGAAGTTTGTGGAGGTCAGAGAACAACTTGAAGAAGTTGGTTCTCTCCTTTCACCATCTGGGTTTTGAGGATTACGCTCAATTCATCAGACTTGGCAACAAGTACCTTTACCTACTGAACCATCTCACCAGCCCCAATTAGAGAATTTTAACAATAAAGGCTAAGGCAAGACAGAATGGACCAACTGTGAAGACAGCAAGTGGCCTGCAATCTATACTTATTTTCTAAAAGTGAGCAGAATTTGGACATTGCTTGCTAAACCTTTGGAAATCTGAAGGTTTGGGAGCCAGGAGTACCACCCTTTCCATGTAAGCTAAAGATTTCCAAGTTGCCTTAGTACTACTGATTTGTTGCTTAAGTACTCAAGGCTCCCACCAACATCACAAAGTAACCAATACCTTGGAGTATTAACACTAGACATTTCTTAAATGCAGTTTGCCCTGAAGCATTCATAGGTGAGGAACTGCAGTTTGGGACCAATAAAGGAGGTAATTACAAGGAGCCTGGAGTGGAACAGAAAATTACATAATTTTACTAGCAGAGAAAATGCCCTAACCAAATCTTTTTTTTAAAAATGGTATGGAGTACCTTTTTCTGTGATGATCAAGAGAAATCTAACTTTTATAAATCTTATGTCCAATATGAAGTTTATAAACTATGTGTTTTATGTTTGTCAGAATTGTTAATCATTTTAAGTACCACATGGAAAATGACTGCTATAACTATACTTTAACTCTTCAAATACCAAATGAAATAAATAGCAAAGTGTAAACTATATTCATATCTTTCTAGATTGGTCTATGGATACTGGGAGTAAATTTTTCAAATAGAATGCAGGCACTTGAAATGTGGAAGATGGAGATAAAAAGGTTTTTTAAAAATCTAATATTATATGCTAGGCAGTGGTGGTGTGCATGCCTTTGTCCCAGCACTGGGGAGACAGAGGCAGGTGGGTCTCTGAGTTCAAAGCCAGCCTGGTTTACAAAGAGTTCCAGGACAGTCAGGACTGTTACACAAAGAAAACCTGTCTCAAAGAAACAAACAAAAAACCCAGAACAAACCAACAAAAACATTTTAATTCAACCCCAAACCCAGGACAGTACTGTCACCTTCTTAATCTATATTCAAGGCCCAGACCCAGATGCATGTAACTTCATTCTTACCTGTGAGAAAACATGAGATCAGGCTGCAGAAAAGCCACATGATAGGACTTGAGCAGACTCCTTGTGGAACGAAACCAACCACTGCTGACTTGTGTTTGGTGTGAGGTCTCTGGCAAGCTCAGTCTGCCCTGAAACAGTGTTTCCTTCCAGAATGAAGCTTTCTGTCCATCTTAGCCATCTTGCTTCAGGAAGCAGATGTTGGTGGAGGTCAGAGTAGCAATGAAGCTTGAATTGTTCTGGAAAGAGGAGCTGGCCCAAATGCTCAGAATGGGCGTACTCTGCAGCACCCTCCTCTCTGCCCAAACCCAGCTATTGCATCAAGGGGAGCGGCCTGTGAGAGTTCCAGAGAAATGATAACTGGGGAACTTGAGACATCTGCCTGAGGGAGACACCTGGCTCAGTTGTGGAGGGCCCTGGCTCTTCCCTGAAGTCAGTGAACATCCAGGATTATTTTCCCTACTCATCAAGTAGCATCCTCTGCCAAGTGCCTCTGTCTATTCATCCAAGTTAATTAGCTCTGTTTGCTAATACATACTTCTGGAAAAGTGGAGAACTAAATTAATGTTATCACTACTGTATTCTACAGTGCTAGGGTTTGGACCCAGGGCTTTGCGGCAACTCTGCCACTGCACTATATCCCAGCCCTGGTTCTTTTTTTTCCCTCATGAAGACAGGTTTCTTTTTGCAGCCCTTGCTGTCCTAACTCACTCTGTAGACCAGGCTGACCTTGAACTCAGTAACCCCACCTGCCTCTGCCTCCCCAGTGCTGGGACTAAAGAAGTCCCTGGTTCTGCAGCCTCAATTTTAAATACCATTTTAAAAGTCAAAAGGTAAAGAGTAATAGTTTGCAAAAAGTCTGCAAAAAGAAAATCTAGGATATGATATGCTAACAAGATTGGCACCTTGAGGTAGAAGGAATAGGAAATGGAGATTTAAACTGTGAACAAGATTCTTTATCTTTTAAAACTGATTGTTGAATCAAGAATGCACTACTGAAAATTAAAACCAATTTTAAAAAATTTGAAATGAAATCCAGTAATAGAAATTGGCCTCTTAAACTTTAACTCCCCGAGGACTTTAAAAACCCCAATGCACAGATTAAATTGGTAAGATGAGCACTAGTTTGAGAATGCACAATGATTTTTAAATTGAACATATTTTGGTTCCAGTTTCTTAACTTATTTGCAAGATAATATGGGGTTGTTCATTCATTGATTCATTCAACAAACATTCTCTAGGAGTTTACTATGTGCAAAATCTTGGAATTCAAGAAGTTCGTATCTTTTCCCAACTAATGAAGATGCATACAGAAATAACCATGGGGCAGTATTGAATACAATGAAAAAACCATTGGGGATACTGGAAACTGGAGAAACACCCAATCTACTCTATGGGATCCCAAAAGGCTTCCTGAGGACCATGGCACTTAGTATTAAACACAGGAGAACGAATTAGCCTCACATTGTGTTGAAAAAAATCCTTAATTTTGTACAAATAGCAAGGAGCGAGGAGATGTGGTGAGGCAGATAGAAACAAGAGTCTGGTGAGCTTTCAAGGTTTTCTAAGTGGCCTCTGAGAGCAGTATCAAGAACAGATCTGATGGTGGCATTCTCTGCATTTCAGACTTAAAGGTTCCTGAGAAAGCAAAGGGACAGACTAGAGGGGGTTCTGGCAGGCATCAGGGTGAGAGATACTGTCAGTCTACACTAGGTTCCCCATGTCTGTGGGAAGAAACAAAACCTCAAGATGCAGGACTTAGGATAGCAGCTCCTACATGTTGTACAGATTGGGAAAGGCCGGGATGCCAAACAAGACTTTCCTGTTCTGGTTTGGGTAACTGGGTGGAAAGCAAGACCTCAAAAGAAAGAATAGAAAGGAACAGAGTAGGGCGGGGTCAGGGCAGGCAGGGTCAGAGGTCTGCAGAAAGAGGCCGCATGTGCTCAGACTCATACACTTTGAAGGATTTGAAGCACTTACGTGAGCAGTCACAATCCCCTGCCTATGGGGTTTTATGGGTAGTGGGTGAGCTTGTGCAAACAGAACATGTCCACTAAAGAGGATGTGCAGACATACATACAGACCAGAGCAAGGACATAAACTAGGAAGACAGGGGTGGGAGTGGTAGCTCAGAGAAGTGGTTCTAAAAACAATGAGGCATGATGTGATTGCTGAGGAAGAGTCCAGTGAGCTCATCATTGAAAAATGTTCTCTGGATGTAACAAGTGGAAAGTCATTGTAATCCCAGCAAGAGGAGTTCCTGTGGAAGCCTTGGATAAGAACCTAGATCATTGTGGGTTGAAGAATAAATGGAAAAAGTAATGACCATTTTATACAAAGAGGAAGAAAACAACTCCATCAACCTTACATTTCTTTTTCATTTACAAAGAAAATACAGTAATACATTGCAAAATAGTTGTGGGAATCAAGAATGGGGATAGGAAATCCACCAGAAATATGCCCAACTCCAACTTCTTTTCACTTACCTCAACTGCTTCCCAGTTAACACTAAAAGGGGTGTGACTCATGAAATTAACAAAGGTTTAGAGAATAAGCAGGAAACGGGCCTCAGAATGGAATTCCAAGAATATACCCATCTAGTTTGAACAGAAGGGGTTAGATGAGTTCATGATTCAGCAGTCCAGATAGAACAACCTGAGCAAAGCCCAAAGATGGAACGTTTGAGAAACTGAGAATACATACTAAATCAGGATACAAGAAAAGTAAGCAAACAAACAAACAAAAGCAATCGAGAGTAAACCTCACACAGCTGAGCTGTGGGCCAGTCTGCCACTGAGTCATGGGGTCTTAAAATGGTTAGTTCTGCCTAGCATGAATCTATATACCAAGACAACCCAGCCCAGTTACAGTGAGTGTCAACCCTGGGTCAACACCCAATTAGAAACTCAGATGCTTTGCCTCTGCCTGAGCCATTAGATTAGGTGAGGGCTGCTAGATGGCTATGCCTCATTTGCTCAACTCCATCACTTGACACTCCTGACTCTGCTCTGGCTTGCTTCTCTTCTGCTTTGTCAATTCTCTTCCTATACTATCTCTTCAACAAGTTGGGATTTCTTGTCTACACAACACGCCCAAACCAAATTATCCTTTATCCATTTGCTTGCAGGTTTGTTTTTTGTTGAACCAAGGTCTCCAGGAGCCAAAACTGGCCTTGAATTCACTATGTGGCCAATTTATAGATAACCTTTAACTTCCTGATCCTCTTACCTCCAACCACAAGTTCTAGGATTGGTGTACATCAACATGCATGGTTTATATGAACTGGAAATCAAACCCAGAGGGTTGTGAATATTAGGCACAACTACTCTAATAACTAGGCGACATCCCCAGACATTTTGTCAGAATTCATGGGATTTTCTAAAGAATTGGAGGATCAATCATTCAGGCCTGAAGATGAAAGTTGAATGGATGAATAAGCGAGTAGTCTAAAAATAGCATTTCTCCCTATTTGCTACCTAAATCTTTGGGATGTAATTTTGTTAGGAAAAATAAGAACTTTATGTAAAGGTATAGAGAACTGAGGTAAAAAGAAAAATTTGATGACTTTCTTTTCATCCCTAATCCAAGATTCACTCATCAGTCTGAAAGAATCCAGGAACAGGCCAAATGGTCAATTACTTTACTCTGTTCTTATAATCTTCACTTACCCTGCTTGCACAGATTCCCATATATTTATGCCTGTGTGCACATGACATTTAGCTCTCATTTCTTTTTCCTGGAATCCACACAGATAATTTAAAACAGTGGAATTCATTAGACTCTCTTGTTTCCACCAACTCTCTTCCAGCTGAAATTGCCAAACTCCAGTTTTCTAAGCTCTTGTCCGACTTAAACTTCTGCTGAGAGGCTGGAGAAATGGTTCAGCAGTTAACAGCACCAGCTGTTCTTTCAGAGAGGATCTGGGTTCAACTTCTAGCCAAAGTCCAGTCCTCCCAGAATCTAATGCCCTGGGCCTCTTTCCAAGAGCACTATGCAGGCAAAATACCCCCAACACATTAAAAATCAAAAACACAACTCCCTTTGAACATAGTCATTTAAATCTACTGAAGGTCTTCAAGAAATCTCTTGGAACTAACGGGTTAAAACCTTTGAGCCTGTAACAGTCATCTTCATGTAGTTATAGCTGGTTTCTATGTAACACTACCCAATAGCTCCTATTAAGACAGAGAATCAGGTTTTATTCTGAACAGCCCTACAAGTTAAAAGTTCCATATCTGAATAAAACAAATACCAGTATAAATTCTGGAAAACAGAAACATGCTTTGTAAAGCGAGTATCTACATGATATGCTAATGATTTTGGCTTGTCTTTCAATCATTGGTTTGCTCTAAGTGGAGCCCACAACATCTAAGCCAATTATATCAGACATCCCACCTATTAACATCCACAACTATGTGATACAACTTCATCCACTTGTCATTCAATGCACAACACCTCTCTCCATTTAAGTATTGCATCACCAGAATGCAAAACCTTTTTTTTTTTTTTTTCCTCATTGTAATGTAGGGTGAAAGCAGTCCCATGCTTGGGCAACAGAAGATTCAACTTAAAAGGTATGATTGTTTTAGAGTAAGATGAGAAACAGAAGGAGGGGGGCATTTTCTGAAGGTTTCACCACCTTCTGAGAAAGTGCTCCAGATGGGAACCAAGAATTTAACACATGGCTTTGAAGGACATGTAGGATCAACTATATCAACAGTCCAAAATTTTTATCTTGAAACTAAGTGATTATGCCTCAACGAAATCAGTATCTGTTCTCTGTAATATTCCCTTTATCTATAGTTTAGAAAGCATAGAACACTTGTTTTGACACCATTTGCTCTAGAGAAACCATGCTTACTCAGGAGTTCCTGATTTCTTCTGTAAGTGTTCAAAACTATCCCAATTATTCCTGTGTTTAGCCTATGTTTAGACAACACTTAACCTCTTTCTGGAATCCATCGTTTTCTCTCAACAATTTTCCAAAAACAGGTAACTGCAGGTTCATTAAGATATATCTGAACCCAAAAGATGGTTTAAAACAATCTTTTTTTTCCTAAATATTAGATAATTATTCCAAAATGTTATGTTTTGTTTTCCTGTTTAAGTTGTCAATGAGGAACAACAGGAGAAAACCTTTGTAGTAATAAAACTTGTAACAGTGAGACTAGCTTCCCCTATGCTGTAAGCTTATGTAATCTTAGTGGAAACATTTACAATCACAGTTGGTTGAATACTTTCCCAGCATGCATGAGGCAGCTGTTCTATTGTTCAGCATTACAAAAATAAACACATCAGCCAGCTTGTCCCTGCTAAGCTACTGAAGGCATCAAACCAGTTCCGAAATTAATACAACCTAAGTGTTCTGGCCAGAAAACCATTCTTAATTTGGTTTAAAACTCTTCTGTATATATAGCCAATGGTAATCGAAACTCTTTAGCTCAGCAAGCATAGTTAATTTCCTATTTTATTCGACAAGTCTCAGCAAACCACATGCACTTTCAGATCAAGAGATTCCTCCTCTAAGTAAACTAGAAATGCACATGTAACAGCAAGAAACTAGAGTGTGAAGAGTGTGCTGCTTGTTTTGCTGTCTGTAGTGTTTAGAACATAACAGAGCTGAGTCACATAAACTTGCTGAACACCCCCAGAACAAGCATATCTACCTCATATCTAATTACCTTGCAACAGAATCAGAAATTTGTTTTTTCAACCCCCTGGATGTGATTCAGAAAAATCTTATGTTGAACAAAATTGAAGAAGTGACCACAGTTGTAAAGACTTGAACACCGTTAAGAGAGCAAGGCTTCTTTTCTTGTAATAAAGTATTAGAATGAAAAAATAAGAGCTCTAATGCTACATTCCTAACTCATTGATTGGGCCATGGGAAGAGTTTCTGAAAAATGGCCCATTTCATATTCAAAGCCAAAAACTCTCCAAGCAACAGGAAAAATAGGGAGAAATAATAATTTGGCTATATATTATGGGGCAAGAGTTGGAAGAGACTTTATTATTCTGTTTGAATGTCTTTCACCATGTGCACTATGGGACCAATCACACCAGGTTCCAGCTGATTATTAACTCAGGAATTCAACTAATATTGTCAGCTTATTTTTAAAGGAAACCATAAATGACAATGCTATCTGAAATCTCCTGTTTTTAAGTACTGTCAAGTTGAATACTATACAAGTTGAACAATACTTCTCTATTTGGCTACACCACAAATGGCACCAGCAGCAGGTAAAATTCTATACTTTTTGACAAGTAAATAACGGGGTACATCAGGAGACAACACTTTTTCCTAATTACCAGATAGACCATTATTTTTGCAACCTCTAGATTACATGGGAGAGCATTAGAGCTGAACACAACTTACAAGCAATGTATTTACAAGCATGTCCCAATGATCTAAGCTCCTTGCTAGGCCCTTTTATTCTGGCACTATGCCAGAATTCCTTTTTTTTGTTTGGTGGTAGTGGGGACAGCATCCAGGGATCATGCATGCTCTACCACAGAACTACAGTCCCAACTCTACTTGTCTTGATATATTACTCAGGCAGGCCTTAAATTCACAATCCTCCTGTCTCTTGAGCAGCCAGAATTATAGGCTTGTACAACTAGATGAGGGTATTTTCTATTTTACTTAGTGATATATTTGTGAAACAGTTTTAATAGTCTTGGGTGCATGTGTTAACATGAATACTGACTATATGCAATATACACATTATGAAAATAATCAACTCAACCCTAAGATTTATGACCAAGAAGATATAACATTTATAGCTTTTCTTTTGTGGCTAAGCTTTCACACACACATAAAGTTGTTTAAGAACACAACAAAACCAAGCACCTCTTCCAAGACTTTAGAGAAATTTCTGTACACATGAGCCGGGTGGTAATTATAGGTATGACCTATAATATTTAAATTTGGGGAACTAATCAGCTCTTCATATAGAGATGAAACTTCTGTAATAGTGCTTTCCCCAGGCCCTATCTCCTAGTCTAAAACTAGCACACAGAGAGCAGTGTCAAGACACGACACTAGATTGGGGCTGTTTCTAATAGAAATTTGTCACTATCTTTTTCTAAGGATGTTCTGATTCTAAGAAAATTGCTTCAAGTAAAACTCATGTTTACAATATTGAAGAGATGGTTTAAGACACTTTTAAAATTGATCAAACATTGAAGTACAAAGTAAAACAGTGAGAGTTAGGTTTTGTTTCACAGTTAGAATGCACAATTACTGAAGCACCTCCATTTCCTAGGAACTCTAGGTACAACAGGATGCATGCACTCCACCTCAGCACTCCTTCCACAACAGGATGCATGCACTCCACCTCAGCACTCCTTCCACAGGATGCATGCACTCCACCTCAGCACTCCTTCCACAACAGGATGCATGCACTCCACCTCAGCATTCCTCTACAACAGGATGCATGCACTCCACCTCAGCACTCCTTCCACAACAGGATGCATGCACTCCACCTCAGCACTCCTCTACCACAGGATGCATGCACTCCACCTCAGCACTCTACAACAGGATGCATGCATGCACTCCACCTCAGCACTCTACAACAGGATGCATGCATGCACTCCACCTCAGCACTCTACAACAGGATGCATGCACTCCACCTCAGCACTCCTCTACCACAGGATGCATGCATGCACTCCACCTCAGCACTCTACAACAGGATGCATGCACTCCACCTCAGCACTCTACAACAGGATGCATGCACTCCACCTCAGCACTCTACCACAGGATGCATGCACTCCACCTCAGCACTCCTTCCACAGGATGCATGCACTCCACCTCAGCACTCCTCTACAACAGGATGCATGCACTCCACCTCAGCACTCTACAACAGGATGCATGCACTCCACCTCAGCACTCTACAACAGGATGCATGTACTCCACCTCAGCACTCTACAACAGGATGCATGCACTAAACCTCAGCACCCCTCTACCACAGGATGCATGCACTCCACCTCAGCACTCCTCCAATGCTGCCCACAAAGTATCAGCTGTGGAGTTGAGGGTTTCCAGAAACAGAGTTCCATGATAAAGTTCTAACTGCTGCTTTTTATAAAGTCCCATTTTGCTTCATGGGGGGAAGGGAACACACAAAGAGAAAGCAAAAATCAAGTGTCAACTATTAAGAATGTTTACTACCTACTCATTCGGCAAACCACTTTTAAACTGTTTTTCTTAGCATTCACAGTATTTTAAAGTCCCAAAGGTAAGCATATACAACATTTATTTACATCAAGCTAATTTACTACCATTTACCTTAAACAAAAGAGAAATCAAAGACAAACGTAAATTAAAAAGCTTTGAAAGCAGGTATTATAAAGATGGTAATTCATACATATATTTGTTGACTTCTAGTTAGTGGGAAAGGCCAGGGATGCCACCCAGTGGCAACATCGGCCTCTAAGTGATTTTAAGATTTAAATTAAAAAAATTTAACTACTACAATGAAGAAAAAAGTGAAATTAATTTTTACCAGCTATAATTTTTGTACATTAGTGTCTAAAACTGCAAAGAACAGTGATGCTCTTGTGCTTACATGGCAATAGGGGCTTTTGTTACTTTGCTTAAATTTAAATTTACAGAATGACAAGGAAAAATGTGACCAACAGAAGATTGAATACTTTAGTCTCTCATTCACACACACAAAGTACTAGATGGAAAATAAAAAAAATTAAGTACAGTTTACCTAACTATAGCACATTTCCCTACAGCATATCATTTAACTGTTCCAGTTAAAGAAACTAGGGGCATTACTCAGCATCAGAGCTCCCACTTATCATGTGTGAAACCTTGGGTTCAATATGTAACAGTGTCAAAACACAGTTTTCCAGTAAATCTGATCAGATATTAGGAGAGGGTAGGATGCTGAAAGGAGAAAACTTTAAATTACTGCCATGTAGAGTTACTGACATTTGGGGGGGGGGGGGGACCACATCTCACTGTCTACTGTCTCCCCCAAACTAGGCCATGACTTACTTCACAGTGGCATAAATATGGCATTATCTAATACAACACACTATGGTCATAGAACACTGGAAACATCCATTTCATTTCAACAGCTGTCAGGGACTACTTTGTTCCCTTGAACAACCAAGTGAGGAAAAGACACTCCTTTAATCCTTGACATTTTTGTTTAAATAGCCATAAATTGTTTTCCAACCTGTATCCTGGGCCTTTCGAATACAATGAATGAATTTTAAAATGAAGGCACAAACAACATATTTTGTATTTACAATGGCTTGTGACAGATACACTATCTGGAAATCATTTCTAGGTTTCCTGTTTATTATTGCTATTTAGTCACAGAAAAGATTAACACTTTACAAGAAATGTACTTTAGCATATGCCATATAGATATAATTTTATGTGAAGAAGAACTATGGGAGAACAGGATGTCTTTACAAGGAAATAAAGAAACATCAATAAAAGAATTCTTCCACATAAAGATTTTTGAACCAAATTATTCTTTTTCAGAATACAAAACCTTAATTGTTAGATGGGAAGAGAAAAATAGCAAAGACAGTAAGACTAAGAATAAAGAACTCTTGAATATAGCTGCACTGCATATGTAGATAAATGTATGGGTTGAGTTATAACAAAAATACTCGTTAGAACCAGCACTTTCCAAGCAAGTACAATTGGCCCAACGCGCTCAGTCTTCAATTACATGACGAGTTAAAGCTGTGCAGCAGTCACTGCTGATGAGTATCAAGACAAATGTTTGACGAGGTACAGTTTTTCTCCTTGTTCACTTGTAAAGATGGGTGCCTTTTTGTAATGTTCTACAAGTTCTTCCATGGTGCTGAATTTTCGCTGCCCAATGCAGTAAACAGTCTCTTTTAGTTGGACTTTAAAATGCTTGTTTTTCCCTTGAGCTTTTAGTGATACTGAGAAATCATTTGGCTAAAAGAGAGGGGGGGGGGAGTAAACATTGTGAAAGCCATGTATCAGAATTAAAAATAAAACACAACTGCTAAAACCTGAACATTAACTAAGACACTATGCTAAATTATTTACATAATCTTTATTCTTCAAAAGAAACCCTTTTTTATAAATGAGGAAAATTAGGCTCAAAGAGCATGCCTACGATCTCTAGGATAGCATATCTGGTTAGACAGAATTCAGACAGGATTCTAGAGTCTCCTAACACTCACAGTGCCCACAGAAAATCTATTAGGAGAAGGGGAAAAAAAATGAGACAATTCCAGACTTTCACTCCATCCCCTTTCAATTCAGAGCTGGACAGTACCTGACTTAAACACACTACTTTGAATTTTCAAAAGTAAGGGACAAATAAGAATTCAACTAAACTTTAAAATTAACGGTGACAAACACAAATTCCTCAAGGGCCAGAAAAAAAAAAAAAAAAAATGTAAGTAAGACAGAAGGAAGAGGATGTGGCCAGACTAAAGAAGACATACTACTCTTCTGTGATTGTTGCTTTGCAGGAATAGAATCCATGTGGACTGGTCTTCGTCCTTTTTTGCATTTTATTTATGAATATGGGTGTTTTGTCTGCATGTGCACCTGTAGATCACATATGAGCAGTGCCTGTGGAGGTTTGAGTTGCCATGTGGTCACTGGGAATAAAACTGGGTCCTTTGAGAAAGGACTGTGGTCCTAATCTCTAATAGCTATGCCATTTTTCAATTTGTATGTTTTAATAGTCTAGCTAATACTGTAACATAATTTACCTTTTATTGAAAATACATTTCAAATGATGTCATATAGGTTGTTAAGGCCAGGCAGTGGCAGCACATGCCTTTAATCTCAGCACTTGAGAGGCAGAGGCAGGCAGATCTGAGTTCCAGGCCAACAAGGTCTACAGATCAAGTTCCAGAATAGCCAGGGCTATACAGTGAAACCCTGTCTTAAAAATCTAAAAAAAAAAAAAAAGGCTGTTGAGGTGAATAAAAAGCCTATATAGTCAGGTACAGTGTCACACACCTTTATTCCCTGCACTGGCAAGGGCAGAAGCAGGTGGATTTCTGAGTTCAAGACTAGCCTGATCTACACAGCGAGTTCCAGGGCAGCTAGGGCTACATAGTGAGCCACTGGGGGGGGGGGAGGGGGGGAAGAAAGAATTTTAATCAAACAACTAATTTATGAAGACACATAATTATTTTTTTATAGTTAAGAGAATTCCTGTAAGGACTACAATGATTGCATTCTTATACTTTACACCTAGTAGAAGTTTAACTTGCATTATTCTATTCTCAAGGAAGAAACCAATGCTCAGCTTTCCCCCATTTTTCAGTTTAATAGGACAGAAAATATTGCAAAAATGCAAAATCAATACAATCAAGAAAGCCCATTAATTAATACAACAGATTCACTGATCCAGCTAGCTAGCGTATTCAAAACTGGTACACTGGAAAGAACACTATGATCACATCCTGGCTTACAACTTGGGTTTAAGGAAGCCACTTAATCACTCTCTCCAATCTTATTTTTAAATACTTGGGACTCTGTTTCCATTTACCTTTGAAAACCAACTTACCGAAGATTCACTATCACGAATGAGGAAGTCTCCTTCATGTCCCCTTTCATTTAATGCCATTTCTGCCTGGTGTCTGGTGACTTTGCCATAATACCAAGGATTGCCAGCAAACTTTCCAGTGAGTGAAGGCCTAATGTAATCACACTGTGGAGGCGATGGTTCCAAACCTGAGCTTAATGGATTATTCTGCATAATGGTAACATAGTTTTTTGGTACCAGGCCAACCATGCCATTGATTTTCCTGCATTTCCACCACTCTGGGTCATTTTCCGGCTTTTCAATAACATCCATTACATCACCTTTCTCAAAATTGAGTTCTTCGTCATTGGATGAGCTGAACGGGTAAAGAGCCTGTACCACATGCAGTACTTGACCTGTATTTAGGTTACTGACAACTGCTGCTAATTTCTCTGACAGAGAACCTACATGGTCACCCAAAGGACTGTCACCTTCTTCAGTCACATAGTTTGAAGGAAACCATCCAATTTGTCCATTGTAGCTGCCACGCCACCACCCATCACTGCATTTCTCCATGACGATCACCTTTGTCCCCTTTATCAATGACAATTCATCCTCTCTCTCAGCCATGTAGTTAAATTTCACAAAAGCAGGCATGTTGAGGTCATAGAGACGTTCCCCTGGATCAACAAAGCTGTCATCAGCAGGAGATGCAGTATCTGGAACACTAGGTTTTCTTTTCACTTTTCCAATGCCTGTTTAAATAAAGAGAAAGTAGTAAGACTACAGCTTCAACTCAGTACTCTCAGCCCAAGCCCCTAGATGTAGAAATAAACTGACATGATGTAATCATCTTTTGAGAAATAAAATACAAGTTCTTTTTCCTTTTTTCAAAGCCAAATCAAATGAACTTAACTTCAGTCATGGGATAGTTTATCTCCTCTTTCTTCTACCAAACCCATTAAATAACTACATAATAATAAAACTGTCATGTTAGGAAGTAGTTTGGAAAAAAACGACGTCCAAATTCCCAAATATTGTCTATAAATGTTTGTTTTCATTTAAATGGTTATAAAAAAAAAAAAAAGAATACACCTTGTATCCTAGTTTCTCTGATGGTGTGAATTATAGGAAAAAATAAATAAATAAAATTGTCATGTTGAAGTTTAATAAGTTTAATATAAGTATTAATATAGTTTATTTCTCTCATAGCTACATTTAAGAACACAAATACCCACACAGTAATCCCACACTTGACATCTTAGTTTATTAACCTAGATTTTGTAAACAGCTGTATAAAATGAAAAAAATTATTTAAATTAGTACCTGATATACAATATGAAATTGTATTTGGATAATCTCATTTGATAATTTCTTAGTTTCCAAAACCAGATCATTCTATGTTATGTTTAAAATATTATTTACTCATTTGTTTCCCTCCATCACAATTCACATAAAGCCTCCCAAAAGGCAGGGATTGCTCACTTTGCTCACTGATAAAATCCCAAGGAGCTGGAAGGGTACTTAGTACATAGGGAATATTTAATGTATTTTTACTAAAAGAACTAAGAAAATGAACCTATCAATCACCTATCAGAAGAATTGCATACCTCAAGCAATCGGGCATTTTTAGGGCTGCTCATTTCTCAGCATATTATTTGATATCTTGCTTTTTACTTTGAAAAACTACGCAAAACTAATCAAACTTTTTAGAGACAGGGTTTCTTTGTGTACATCCTAGAAATTGCTCTACAGATCAGGCTGGCCTGAAACTCAGATATCCACCTGCCTCCAGAATGCTGGGATTAAAGGTGTGTGCCACCACAGCCTGGATTCTTTCTACATTCTTAAAAACAAAAAGCAACCTTATTATTATTCTCACTCTTTGTTCAGCCAAGGCCCCAAATTCTGATCCTTCAGGGTTCTTAATAACCATCTTTTCTCTTCAGAGACTCCACACTACCCTTGTTTTTGTCTTATAAAGACATCAATTATCTAAAAACACTCAACTCTCTTTAATACCAAAATAAAGCTAATTTACTTTGCTATTCTTTTAGTATTTTTTACATTTATTTCTCCATATATATTACTTACACTAGCTTGCACACTCAGAAACAACTTTTTGTGCAAGTTTCAGAGACTGCACTCAGGCTCAAAATAGCTTGTGCTATTCTTTTAAAATTGTACCATTCTTTTAAAATTATCTATTTTTCAACTTCTTCAAATCTTGCTTGCACCCCCTCCTCCTTTAAAAATACACACTCATAATCAATCTGTTTTGGAGAGCCAGTGCTGCACATACAACACAAAGCATATATGGAGTTCAGAGGGAAACTTCCAGGATTAGGTTTTCTCACTCTGTGTGAGTTCAGAGGATCAAATTTAGGTCATCAGGCTCAGCAGCAAATGCTTTTACATGCTGAGTCATCTTGTCAGCTCCACACTTGTACTTAACAATCTTCTTCTCTCTCTCTACCATGATATAAAAACTGCTTGATTACAACTGTAACTGGAGTTTCAAGCAAGAAGCCTAATCTGGGGGTGGGATGCAACAAATTAGAGTGGACCTACCAGCAGCCTCAGATATCAAACAGAAAACAAATGATGGAAAAAGCAGGGAAGAATTTCAAAGAATTTCAAATAGAATGGCTATGTTGGGAAGATAGTCAACATACATCTCAGCCTAGAGACCTGACATAAGTTTTAAGTTTGACTAAGAATTAACCAGGGTAAGGGATGAGAGGTATACACAATGACTGATCAAATCTGAAGCTTGGATGGTTATTATTCCAGTGCTGGATCTGCAATGGGGCCTCTTTATTGCCTGGAAAGAAAGAAAGAAAGAAAGAAAAAAAAAAAAAAAAAGGACACCTGGTTCTCATGTGATTACTAACTACTGCTACTGAGGGGTAAAGTTCACTAACTAAGGAGAGGATTGATTGTTTGACTTAGCTGTTCTTAGAAAAGGTGACTGTAGATTTAGAACAATGGCTAAAGACTTCCAGTCACCTTTTAAGAGATCCAGAATAGGACACTGTAAAAGTTAACACCAAAGAACTTTTTAGTTCTTATCTTTGTGTCTTAAACCTTAAAAGGGAATGAACAGACACTCCTTGATTAACATGCTTACATGCAGAGTTGAACAGAAGTACACCCATAGTTTTAAAAAAAAAAAAAAAAGGCAGATATAAAATGAAAGCAGAGATACCAGGTTTTATCTTGTGGACACAAGGAGCCGGTGCATTTTTAGCAAAAGCAGTGTTACTTTCCTATTACTGTGATAAGGCACCATGACCACAGCAACTTATTAAAGAGTTGCAGCTTACAGTTTCAGAGGGTTAGAGTCTATGACCACCATGGGGGCTGGGGGCTGGGGGCTGGGGGCTGGGGGCTGGGGGCTGGGGGCTGGGGGCTGGGCTCTGGAACAATAGCTGAGCTCATATCTTTGAGACCCGACCATGATGTAAAGAGAGATAACTGGGAATGGCACAAGCTTATGAAACCTCAAAACCCTCCACCAGTGACACATGCTCTCTTTCCCAAAGAGCTCCACCAGATGGGGATCAAGTATTCAAACATATGAGCCTTTTGCGACCATTCTCATTCAGACCACCACAAGCAATTGCTAAGTATGTGTTATATACTTAACACCAAATTATTACATCCTTAGTCTTTTCATATTTTCATGTGACAAATAAGATCACAGGAATGCTCTTCATATTTTCTCATGACAGCCCCTGAACAATCTTGTTCCTCCCCCTTACCTATTTATATATTCCTGTATGTCTTTGGTCCCCTGTAAACCTTGTTATAACAGTACTTTGTACTTGTTTACTTTTATTTCCTTAATGAGAGTCAGCTCCCTTAGAGCACCAAACTAGAATTTTCCTCCTTATATCTCCAGTCCTCAATAGTTGCTATATTAGTGAACAGGGCAAAGCAATTGCTTTATAAATTACAAAGTCCTTAGTTGAAAGTATTTTTCCAAGATGGCACAGCTGGCCTTCTCTACTTCAAAGAACCACATATAGATTTTTTTTTTAGAGTTATTTAAAGATTTAAACTCTTGCTCTGTCAGCACTAGAGTTCTGTCATTAGATATCTATATATTTAATCAACTCAAATCTATACTCATTCAAATAAAAATAATCTCTCCTTTTAAAAAATCCTCCTATACCTATAAATGAACTGTGTCCTTAATTTCTTTATTTCTGGCTAATGAGATTATCATTATGAAAAATCTTTATAGTGGGGTGACATTGATTTAAAAAAATGGCAGAGTAGGAACTCTAGGACTTCCTCTAAAAAACAGTCAATGAGCTGAGAAATAGTATCAGTATTTGTAAATCTTGGAATTTGGCAAACAAAGCAAAGCACTTGGGCAATGCTAAGTAAAGAAAGCTGCTGCTTTAAGTAGAGAATGCTAAGGCATTTTAAGTTGCCTTCGTACCAGTCTCTACCCCCCAGGTCAGAGTGCTTTGAGGACAGCTACCTATAAACCTCATTAAAGAATTGTGACTGCTAGGCTTTAGTTTGTCAGATCCTTGAGGAACCAGCACAATGATTTGTCTTGGGTTCACCAGATCTAGAAAATTCCAGATGTAGGTTGTTTTTCTACATAAATTTCACTTAAAATCATTGTTCGATACAGTAGCTTGAGACAAGGGACAAATAACCCTTAAGGTCAAACATCATGTTTTTTTCTCCACTATCTATGTATCCCTAGTCCTGAGTTAATAGTAAATGTTCCACTAATCTTTAATGTGGGCAAAATGCCTCTGAGTAAAAGTACTTGCCACCAAGCCTAATGACTCAGGTTTGATCACACATGATGCAAAGAGAAAAACACCCACAAGTTGTCCTCTTACATACAGACCAGCAGTGCTGTGGCATGCACATGGCAAGTGCTCACACATGTGTGAACACACATAATAATTGCAATAAAAAAATTTAAGAAATGAGTAACGAAGGTTGTATTATTCCTCTGCTTTTCAACTTTGTTTCTAGTGCCAAAAATTGGACATTCCAATCTTCTGCTACCAGCAAAAATTGATATAAAAATACTTTACATTTTTAAGGTATTATTTAGCTAATTATGTGGTAACTATCAACAATTAGATCCTTTCTTTCAGATGCCCCTCAGAATCAATATTACTATTTTTTCCAAAATTCCTCCTGTCTTTGTTCAGGCTCCTAATTACAACACAAAAAAATAAGGACAAAAGCCAGGTAATTTATATTTAACTGAAATTTGTTTCTCATAGTTCTGAAGGCGCAAGGTAAAGGAATTAATAGACTATATCTGTCAAGGTCCTATTTCTTTTTGGGGGGCAGAGGGATGAGACAGGGTTTCTCTGTGTAGTCCTTGCCATGTTGGAACTCATTTTGTAGATCAGGCTGGCCTTGAACTTACAAAGATCCACCTGCCTGTGTCTACCACAACCATGCCTGGCTGAGTTCCTATTTCTTAAAAACGAATACTCACATGATGCAAAAGACAAGCAAGCTTGCAACTGTTTTACAATGGTGCAAATCTCATTCATGAAGGCTTTGCCTTAATAAGCTGCCTAAAGATCCCCTACCTCTTAATACCATTCCATTAATGATTAAGTTTCAACATGTAAATTCTAGAAAACACAGCTGATACATGTTTGTTGTAGCACACGCCTTTAATCCCAGCACTCAGGAGACAGAGGCAAGCAGATCTCTGTGATTTGCAAAGTAAACCTGGTATGCAGAGTAAATTCCAGGACAG